GTCATGGTCATGGTCATGGTCATGGTCATGGTCATGGTCATGGTCATGGTCATGGTCATGGCCCTGGTTATTGTCCGAGTTATTGGTCCGTGCATAACTTAGAAGTAGTTATGAAATATATATATATATATATATATATATATATATATATATATATATATATATATGTGTGTGTGTGTGTGTGTGTGCGCGCGTGTGTGTACATGTAATTAATCATGTATAACTTACGTAGTAATTGCGAAATATACATAATTAATTCCAAAGTTGAACTCTTTGATTTGGAAGAACATAAACGGTTACGAATTAGAAACATTATAAATTTCAATGAACATTCCCAACATATTTAATAAACCATTCTAAAAAAGCAACATATTTTATAAAATCATGGCAAAACTTACATTCTCACTGTGCTTCATTGGCTTTTTCTTGTGCCTCATTATGTGCACCAATTCCGTGCAAGTAAGATATATATAAAAAAACTCATTATTATTGTACTAACAACTTAAAAAGTATTTTAGATTGGAAAATATTATGAAAATATTTTATGGAATTATGATGTTTTTGTTTTTGTTGTTTTGATAATGGATAGGGGAAAACTTGGTGTGTAGCTCAAAGCCAGGCTACCGAACCGAAGTTGCAACAAGTTCTTGACTATCTTTGTGGACAACTCGACTGCAAGGAGATTCAACCTGGAGGATCATGCTTTAACCCTAACACTGTGCGAAATCATGCGTCTTATGCTATTGATCTTAACTTTCAAATTAACGGTGTATGCGATATTAGTTATGCTACTCCTGCTGTCACAGATCCATGTAAGTTTCTTTTTCTATTGGAATATTTTCTAAAGAACTGCTCTCGCACATTAAATATCGGGTGATAGGTGTACCAAATTGAAACTGATTTTGTGTTGTTTTTATGTAGCTTTCGGCACATGTGTCTACCCGTAAGTGATGAAAAAGTCGTAATCAAACGACACGTTGAAGGGAAGATCGTATTTTTTCAAATTCTTGAACGCTGAAAAGAATGTATAAAACAATCTAATAAGTGGAAATAAAATGTTCTTTTAGTCTTTACTTGTTGTTTGATATATTATATTGTGTGTATGCGAAGAACATCATATACCATTTTAAGAAAGTAACGTTTTTCTTCATTTTCAAAATATACGTACTCGTTTGATTTCTTTTGAGTTTAAGTGAAATGTTTTATTGTTGGTTAAATATGATTTGATGGATTTTGAAAATAAATTTGAAAAAAGACTGAAATTAAGGTTATGATGTTATCCTTTTTTGGATTAAACATCGATAATATGGTTTTTTGTAAGACTTCTGTAAAGTTTATTTGCTTCCATTAATTTGCAATGATGTGTATACTACTCAAATGATTCTTGAGTTTGAGGCGACCTTCAAATAGTTTGGAGGGTTATTCATGAAAATTAACATTTTTTATTGATACACACACACACACACGAGAGAGAGAGAGAGAGAGAGAGAGAGAGAGAGAGAGAGAGAGAGAGCGCTTAACACCTGTGGAACTTCTGTGAAAAACCAAAGAAGGATGTTACCCAAATTTCATTTACCTTGTTAGATCAAGTAATTAGAGCCACTTTTGAAGAACACAAATTCACATGTCCATTAAATTATACTGATGAAGTTTATTTTGAAGCTAGTGTATAAAAGATGCCTAAAATATTGCCAGTGCACTGCAATTTACGTTATATGTGATGAACATATAGTAGGTTCCGTGTGGGCCATCTAGATGGTGAGAATTTTTGTTAATTATGTATCTATTTGATATAGATTTGAGACGAAGAGGAATACTAATAGTTGAGAGGTGGAATTCGTAAGAAAGGTCCATGGTTACCGGGTTCAAACGATCACTTAAGAGATGAAAAAAAAGCTCAAATCTCTGTTAAACCTCCATGCATGTGACAATTACATAAGAAAGGTCCATGGTTACAGGGTTTAAACGATCACTTAAGAGATTAGAAAAAAGCTCAAATCTCTGTTAAACCTCCATGCATGTGACAATTACATAATTTTTAGTACGGATAAATAATGTTTTAGCATAGTTTTTTTGTTTTATGTGCTCTCAACATTCACTTACACACAGATGCACACACAGAGAAATACATACATGCAAATACCACATATTTTTTCAATTATTGTTGCATTAAAATTTTAATTTATTCTTATCATGACATAAGTAAGTTACTAATTCGTGCACTTAACCCAAGAATAAATTTATGGTCCAATTTGTTCCAATTGTCTGGGTGGGACAATAAGTCGCAATATTTGTAGTATGACACTGATTTTGGCTCGACTATTTGTCTAATGCACTAATTACATGCCCTATGGTTTGTAATAAATGGGATCTTAAACATTTTCTTGGATTGGCTAATACCCACATCATTTCATTATATACTTATAAAGGAAGCATTTTTCCTTTAACCACATTAATTTGAAACTCTCATTCTTTTTTCCTTTCACCACATTCATTTGAAACTTCCATGACTTTTCAATTTCTTTATAATAATAATAATAATTTGGTAAATTAGGTTAAATAAATATCAAACCTAAAGTGTAACCATATATAAACTAAATTTCAATATTAAAATAATATCTTTACTTCTACTTATAAAATTATGTTTTTTAAATTTAAACATATTATACTTAATTTATTAGTTTTAATATATTCTTGGATGTAAACCATTATCATTTTAAAGGTATAATTTTTGAACAATTTGTATAAAATAGTTAAATTATTAATTAAAATATAACATTACAGGGTCAACTTAAATATAAGTTTTAGTTTAACTTAAACAACCCAAAGAATATTTTATAAATAGTTAAAAGTGATAAATTATAGTGTCTTTCTAATAATGATTATCAGATGTATAATAAGCTCAAATAAATATCAAACCTAAAGTGTAATCATAAATAGACTAAATTTCTATTTTAAAATAAAATCTTTACTTCTATATTGAAAGTTATGACTTTAAATTTTAACATATTATACTTAATTTATTAGATTTAAAATGGTGTTGTATGTAAACCATTATCAGTTTAAAGCTACAACTTTTGAACAGTTTGGACAAAATACTTAAATTGTTAATTTAAATATAACATTACAGTGTCAACTTAAATATAAATTTCAGTTCCACTAAAAAAAGCAAAGAATATTTTGTAAATAGTTAAAAGTGAGAAATTTTAGTGATAAATGGAAAAATTAAATTGTAATATCAATTTAACTAAAATATTTCCTAAAGATAGTTTTATAATCGTTAAAACTTTTCAAATAAGTAGCTTAAAATAACTTACAATAACAATAGTTAAAAATAACTCTATATAAATGATTATATTGTTACCTTTAAAATTAAAAAATAATGTTTGGTGTTTAAATAATTATAATGATAGAAATTAAAACATTAAGCAAATAAATTTTAAAAAATTAGTTAATAATAACAACAACTATAAATAATATTAAACCATATATAATATTTAATTTTATTAATGTGTAATTCGCGGGTAGAAGTCATTCAAACGATTAAGATTATGACGCTATAATAGATGTATATATTATCATATAATTCAAAATAATCAATATATTATATCAATTTAGTATACGAATTATTATATTAAATTTAACAACAACGTTAGTGTTATATTTAAAATGAATATTTGTAAAGACTTCACCTATATAGATGTTTCTACGCACTACAATGTCAACTCAAATATAAATTTTTGTTCTATTTAAAAAACCAAAGACTATTTTGTAAATAGTTAAAAGTGATAAATGCAAAAAAAGTAAATTGTTATCTCAATTTAACTAAAATATTTCAAAAATATTTTTTTATAATCGTTAAAAGTTTCCAAATAAGTAACTTATAATAACTTATAATAACAATAGTTAAAAATAACTCTATAAAATGATTATATGGTTAGCTTTAAAATAAAAAAACAATGTTTGACGTTTTAAATAATTATAATGATAGAAATTAAAACATTAAGAAAAATAAATTTTAAAAAATTAATTAACAATAACAACAACTATAAATAACATTAAATCATATATTATATTTAATTTTATTCATGTGTAACTCGCGGGTACAATTCATTCAAACGATTGGGATTATGAAGTTATAATAGATGTATATATTATCATATAATTCAAAATAATCAATATATTATATCAATTTAGTATACAAATTAGTAAAGTTAATGTTATATTTAAAAAAAAACATATATTTGTAAATACTTCAATTATATAGGTGTTTATGCGCAACGCGCGGACATTCGCCTAGTGACATATATAAGTCGGTTCCTAACAACTTGTTTTTGAACTAACATAAATGATTGTTTTCATCTTCTTTCGTTTATGTTTTTTAATCAAAGTAACATAAAGAAGCATAAACAAATGAACGACAAATAAAAATAAGTGAACATATATGAACATAAACAAACATATAAAACGTAAACAAATAAACGAATGAAAATAGGCGTAAACATCGTAATCAATAATGATAAAACTTGATCACGAACACTTTGATATGTTGATCATACTTAGTGGTGCTACATTTGATATTTTTACCAAATCCACAAGATATAAAACCTAACCAAATTTTAAAAACTCGACGTCAACAATGGTCATGGTCATGGTCATGGTCATTGTCCGAGTTTTTGGTTCGTGCATAACTTAGAAGTAATTATGATATATATATATATATATATATATATATATATATATGTGTGTGTGTGTGTGTGTGTACATGTAATTAATCATGTATAACTTACGTAGTAATTACAAAATCTACATAATTAATTCCAAAGTTGAACTCTTTGATTTTTAAGATGATAAACGGATACGAACCAGAAACATTATAAATTTCAATGAACATTCCCAACATATTTCATAAACCATTCTAAAAGAGCAACATATTTTATAAAATCATGGCAAGACTTACATTCTCACTGTGCTTCATTGGCTTTTTCTTGTGCCTCATTATGTGCACCAATTCCGTACAAGTAAGATATATATATATATATATATATATATATATATATATATATATATATATATATATATATATATAAACTCATTATTATTGTACTAACAACTTAAAAAGTATTTTAGATTGGAAAATATTATGAAAATATTTTATGGAATTATGATGTTTTTGTTTTTGTTGTTTTGATAATGGATAGGGGAAAACTTGGTGTGTAGCTCAAAGCCAGGCTACCGAATCGAAGTTGCAACAAGTTCTTGACTATCTTTGTGGACAACTCGACTGCAAGGAGATTCAACCTGGAGGATCATGCTTTAACCCTAACACTGTGCGAAATCATGCGTCTTATGCTATTGATCTTAACTTTCAAATTAACGGTGTATGCGATATTAGTTATGCTACTCCTGCTGTCACAGATCCATGTAAGTTTCTTTTTCGATTGGAATATTTTCTAAAGAACTGCTATCGCACATTAAATATCGGGTGATAGGTGTACCAAATTGAAACTGATTTTGTGTTGTTTTTATGTAGCTTTCGGCACATGTGTCTACCCGTAAGTGATGAAAAAGTCGTAATCAAACGACACGTTGAAGGGAAGATCGTATTTTTTCAAATTCTTGAACGCTGAAAAGAATGTATAAAACAATCTAATATGTGGAAATAAAATGTTCTTTTAGTCTTTACTTGTTGTTTGATATATTATATTGTGTGTATGCGAAGAACATCATATACCATTTTAAGAAAGTAACGTTTTTCTTCATTTTCAAAATATACGTACTCGTTTGCTTTCTTTTGAGTTTAAGTGAAATGTTTTATTGTTGGTTAAATATGATTTGATGGATTTTGAAAATAAATTTGAAAAAAGACTGAAATTAAGGTTATGATGTTATCCTTTTTTGGATTAAACATCGATAATATGGTTTTTTGTAAGACTTCTGTAAAGCTTATTTGCTTCCATTAATTTGCAATGATGTGTATACTACTCAAATGATTCTTGAGTTTGAGGCGACCTTCAAATAGTTTGGAGGGTTATTCATGAAAATTA